TCTTATTATTATCAATTTTGTATTAAAGAATAATTTTATAAAAGAAAGAAACATATATGGACATATTTTGCATATAATTATATATAATTATATATGGAACTTTTTTTCCGGGAATATATATATAAAACGTTAAAGAAGAGTTCAAGTATGCTTTAAAAATATATTATATATTTGCACAAAAACAATAACGAAAATGAACTGATGGATACCGCGTATAAGAGTATCGCATAAATCTAGTCACGAGTAAACTATTAGAAAAAATTACATATTGGAAACATACCTTTTTATTTCGGTATATCCTAATACTTCATATGCCAATTCACATTTCTCATCCAATTCTAACGCTTTGTTTAGAAGTTCTACAGCTTTATCATCATCATTCTTCCATTTCAATTGTAGCATGGCTCTGTTCGCATGGATAAATGCGTTATCTGGATCTTTTTGTATTGCTCTAACAAGATAAGTATCAGCTTTTCTGTACTCTCGACAGCAGATCATAATCTGAAATGATTGAAAATTTTTTATTAATGAATCAATTAAATGTGAACAGCACAATGATAATAATTTATCGCTTATTTCTTTTAAATTCCAATTATTTTTCTTAAGAAATTATATATATAACTGTATGTACCTGAGAATATAATTCATAAAGATATGAACATTCAGGAAAATTTTGAAACTTTTCGAAGCCTCTCTTAACATCCTCTATAAATATGATTAATGGTACATCTTCATCGAAGAAATGCATTTCTTCCATAATACAATAATCATTGTAACATTTGCGTATATATCCTACGCAATAATTTGGATTGTATTCCACTGCCTTTTCAAAATCGCACTTAGTTTTGTACAATCTGCCGATACGCATATATATCTGAAATGACAAAGAAATATTATTGTCATATTTTTCATTATCTTATGATGTGCGCACTCATATGCGTATAACAAATAAATATGTGGAAAATCCAGAGTTGGGTAAGTTAATATTTTTTTTTAACTAACAAGGAAAGAGACCGAAGTGTTCCCCTCCGATTTTAATGAGCTTTTATAATATATTATTCTTTAGACAAAAGAGTTAAGCTTAAGAGTTAAGCCAAGAATTAAGCTACTGCATATTCGTGCTCTTACGCACTTTTAAAGAGTAAAACATCCCTTAGAAAAAAATAGGTTTTTTTACTTTAATGCGAATATCATCGAAACTAGGAGAGATAGAAAGAAATGTTCTAAACAAAAATTAAATGGCTTTAAGAGTACTTTATAATTATAATTTGAAATAATTTTTTATTGTTAATTTTTTTGTTTAGCCTCACCACCAATTTTTTTTTAATTTTTCAAATTTCTTTTTTACCAAATTAAAGGTTATTTTAAGACAAATTCAACCATATGTAATAAAGTTATTTTCCGAAATATCATTTTCGAAAAATAATTATAAACGCTTCTATATGCGTACCATCCGTAGTCTTCGCTGCGCTCAATTCTTCATGCAGCACGTTCTGCTCGCATTTTTGCATTTAATAGAGGACAACAATGAAAGTAAATCTATTTCCGCAATATTCCGCAATATGCGTATGTATAAGTATGAATCGTTTTTATCGCTCACGGCTTACTAGACAACGCTTACAAAACAAAATTTGAATGTCGTAGGATCAAGTCAAATCGATGTAAACAACTTATTTCGGGAACAATCTACATATAATCGCATATAATATCACGGAAATATTTATGTTTCAGTCGAGTTAGTACGTAATAAGCGGCAATATAAAATGTTGTCGCTATGCGAATGTCAGAATCAGTGCACCGTGTATGATATTATGTACCTATTAATAACATCATGTGTTAGTAACATTACTGTATCACTACAATCATTTTGTAAGTATATTTTTTAAATATTTTTAAAATTTATATTAATATTTATATTTTTTGCATAATTCAATTTTTAGCTTGTAAAAATAAGTTATTATATGAAATTCTTAATTGTATTTTATATTTTATTTCAATTGCAGAATAATCTTTTGGTACTTATTTCTATTACTTTTGTAAATAAAAACAACAGTTATCGTATATAATACAAACGTTGTGTATCACATAAGATTATATTTCTTTTTGGATTTTTCACGGAAAACAAAAATAGAAAAAGGTATAATAATTATAATATAATATATATTTATCACTTTAAGAATAAATTAAAATAATTTGTCTTTAACATAATAAACAATATAATGTTAATAGAGTATGCATACAATAAAGCGTAACTATATATTTAATATATTTACTATTTTTATTTTTAAAGATGTTTATATAACTACAATTTATTATTTATAATTATTTTTCAGAGGCAAAATGTTTAATTCGAGAA